CTAGTAGCGATGCCCTTTGTTAGTAGTAGCTTCTTGTTCCTAGTAGTCTGGCCAGGAGCTACTAGTAGCGTCCTTGCTCTTAGTAGCGATGCCCTTTGTTACTAGTAGCTTCTTGTTCCTACAGGGCTGTACAGTTTTTCTTCAATTGCGCTGCACTTCAGGCGCATCACAAGAACATTGTGCGAGACCTGTCTCGGCAGGTGGGCGCTGCAGGGTCGAGCGTTGCATGGCAGCTGATATGATACAACAATATACAACATATGCTTGAAGAATCTCGAAGATGTTCGCCTCAAAAGGTTTTTGTGCAGTTTTGACGCTTGTTGCCCGGTGTTTGTGCCTGGCCTGCCTTTTGGACTCAAGATCAACTTGTCAAGAAGCATCGCCTGATCAGATTTTTGAGAGTGTTGGAGCTTGTAAGTTCTTGCTGTGAAGTAATGAACAGGGATGTCTGTAAAGATACAATACATTATATATATAGGTGCTGCACAAAAGTAGCAACGCCAGAAGTTTCATAGTCTCATATAAAGTGACCAGTTGGACCTCCGGTCCGTTCGCATTGGCCATTGGGACCGCCTTCGTGTCTGTGGCGCTTGACGCCACTTGGTCAATCAGAATGTGAGACCACCAGGAAGGCCGCACCTCCGTCATGAAGATGACAATCTTTTGACCAACAGATCAGATCTGCATGAAACTGTTCAAACGCCAGGCCTTTAGTGACCCTTGCACTTGCATGTCATATAACCTACCCCTTGTTGAAAGTTGTCAGTTATAACTGCAACGATTCACTTCGACTTGCACGACGCAAACAGATTCAAATGCCCTTGCGTCGGCCCAGAGGTTGTTTTACTCTGCAATGGACGTGCCTGGGCCACAGGTGGGTGTTAAGCATGCCTTCTCAACAAAAGACTCTCACGGGTTTCCAGTGCAAGCTTCGTTTCTTGTAAAATTGTGTTTTCAAATGATTCTGGTTGAGGTTTGTACAATGGTTACTTTATCACTCCCTTGGAGGTAGCTATTGCCTCACCTTGTAAACTCAAAAGGTGACTTACAGCGTGAACATGCTGAAGCCGGTACATCGGAGCTTCCCTGCATGAGGAATGGAATCAACCTTCATTATTGGCTGTACAAAGTTGTGCTTGTGCTGGTCATGGATAGTTGGAGAAAGGGGCCCCAAGGTGCAAGGTCTTTTCAATTTTTGTGAATGTTCAGTGAGGCCATCGCTAGGAGGTTGGAGGCCATCGCTCTTAGGTCTTTGCATTTGTGTGATTGTTCAGTGTGAACGTTTCCCGGTGCTCGGGACATTCGGTGCTTCAACGAGCTAAATTGTAACATTTGCCCTTGTACACTCACACCCAAGCGCCCCCACCCTTGATTGGTTTGTCTCCAACAGGGTGAGGGCCTTAGACAGCTATTTCATGCTATTTCAGAAAGACAGCACAACAGTTGTAATTATTAAATGATGTTTGATGGCCGGTCAGTTTCCCAGACAAGAACAGTGTGTAGCCACAAAACAACACTACCAGCAGTCAAGAGGCAGTCAACATCAACCGATTTGAAGCAATCCCCACCTAAGGACAGCGCGCGAGTGTATACCTGCGGTGTGCTTTCTGCCTGGCTGGCCTTTGGCTTTTTACATGGAGGCCACTGGTGTGTTCTGAGCGGTTTCTTGGCACGGAACTTCGCCAAGTTGTAGGGCAGGGGCTTGTATGGGCTTGTCACACTTGAGCTAGGGCCAGGTAGAAAATCGCTGATACTAGCTATTGGATGCTTGTAATCCCCACAAAACCATGTTTGTGGTGGTTTTGGTTGTAGCTCACTTGTCTCAAACTTGGTTCCAAGTTCTATTACGCTTGATCCCCTGTATTGCTGTTGTTCCCAAAAGTGTGAGCGCCTTTCAGAGCGGCAACTGAGGTATGGCCAGCAACTTCGGTCATCCGCAACGGTGGCTGCTGCGAAATCATGCCATCTCCTATGCAGTCGGCATTCTTCTGACAGCAGCAGGCCGTCCAACTGGAAGAAAGCGCACGCTCCAAATACATGTGCGGCGTCGCAGCTTGTTGTCCACGAAAGGCATAATTCATTGGTATCCGTATCCTATCCTATCCTATCGTTGTTTGTAGAACGGATGATTGTCGATTCGTTGTTTTTGCATTGGACATGTCCAACTTTGCAATGAGGTGGAGCCTACTGCCAAAGTGGCACTGCCAAGCCCTGTCCGGGAGGTGAAGACATGTCTCGGGACTGCTTCTGGCAGGAGCAGACGGTCACCCGGCAGGATGAAATGGGGCCAAGGTTAAAGAACTTGCTTAGTAGCTAAGTGCATCGCTACTAGTAACAAGTGCACTTGCACTACAAGTAGCAAGAAGCTACTTGTAACTTCTTGCTACTAGTCGCGATGCACTTGTTCCTAGTATCGATGCCCTTGATACGGGAAGCTTCTAGCCTTTACCTTAAGCACACAATGATTCCATGGTTGTCCTAACACGGATGCTGGACAGAAATCACTGGCACAAAGGCAGATTTCTCATAGCGAAGCGAGTACGGTGCGTGGCCTGTTCAACCCTTTGCTGGGTCCTTCAGGCGTGTCATAATCTGTTCCTACAAGGGCACGCGTCGGGCGAGCATGCACGAGCCATGAGCATGAATTCATCACAGAGCACACGAGGCGCTTGCGCTTTGTGTTTTTCTTCCTCAGATCATTGAGGTTCTCTATCAGATCATTTACATTTTGCACTACGTTGGCCTTGCCTGGAATTTTGCCCATTGGATCATGGACGGAGTCCAACTATTGCCACTGGGATCCCATTACGGTGCGTTTGGCACCGGGAGTCTAGCCGCCGGAGCTTTTTTGAGAATGGATTGCGCATCTGGGCATGATCACTGAAGTCAGAAGGCCACCTGTTGCAAAGACTAATTAATTATTGTCTGTATACCGTTTGAGACCGGGCCCCAGCCCCACCAGTAGGAGGCCCAGTGAAACATAGACCACATGCTTCAGTGTCACCAATTCACAATCCCGAAGCAGCTTTTGGACGCCATAACTTGAATACCCCACTGTCAGGCTAGCAGGCTTCAACTCCTCGGTCATTTACTCTATTTCCAGCATATATTATATATCTCTTTCACAAGTGCACTAATATACTTCCAAAAACAATGACCACACACGAAGATGCTGCTCTTCAGCGGCATGTACTCAATGTATCCCAAGTAGTGGTGGCTCGAAGCTTTCGCTGGACCTTGGTGGCGGTTTGTCAAAGAACGTCTGGACCAGCTGGCACTCTTCTGCCTCAACACCGTGAAGTACTGAACACCAAGAGCTGCAGGGCACACCAGCTGGGACCAAGAACCGTTTGAGCTCAGGTTTTGGTCGCAGCAGATTGTCAGAAAGACTCCCCTGAGGCGCAATTTGTGTCGCATTTGCCATTTGCATGCATTTGCTGCTCCCGTGGAGGTGTTTGGTCTTTCAAATGCTTTTTGCGTAGTTTTGACTGACTATAGGAACCAGGCGGTTGACGTGGGATCCTGAATTCCCATTGAGGCAAGGTAGTTCCCATTGGTTGAAAGGACGTCGCTCGTTTTCAACACACGCTATTCACAATGTAGGCTCGCGAGTTTCGGACATCGCATGCACTATGCTTTGCAGACAAACTGACTGAGCTTTGGGTTGGATTCTGACCATCAACTTTAAGGCGAAGAGTTTGATCAAGAGCTCTGCACGATACCAGATCATATTTATTGATTGTTTCTTGGGCTGCTTAGGGGATGTAGAGTAAATTTTGACCATCCCTCAGACACAATTGGCTAGCACGACTCCTGGCAAGTGGTCCTGTTCCGTCCTTGGCCGACTCTGCCGACTTGGCACGCCGACTTTGGCCGACTTGGCAGGCTGGTTCTCACGGACTTTCCGCTCTCGAAGTTCCTGCAGCGAGTCAGAACTTATCTGCCCACAGAGAAAACTTATCAAAATTCCTGCCCCACCAGAAGTTCAGGATTTTATAAGACCCAGGGTTCTTGGCATTGGACGCTGGTCCGACAAACGTAGGACAATACTGCCAGGGGCTCAAGACTTAGAACACCACAATTTGGATCCCAGCATCAAATCTAGTACTGATACATTCGTGTGCGGCCAATGAATATCTTTGTTGCTCGTGTTTCCAAGGCGATTCACACCCGCTTCGCGGTAGAAGCCCCCCGCACAGATTAAAGGGAAATTGTGTCATTGCACCCCAGGGAAGTAGCAATTTGTGCTCGCGGAGCCGGGAAAATGTTAACCGGGCTCAAGCGTGAAGGAACGTTAACTACTGACTAGCGCTGCTGTTTCCCCTCACAAAACCTATCCAACATGATATCAATCGCCTCTTTCCTTAAGAAGAAACTTCTGTCGGGCAGCCTGCCTGAACGAACATTGTCCACGATGTCGATAACGCAGTCTCCCCCGAACGGCATAACCGGCATGGCGAACAATTGGTACCGAAGCCATATCAATTTTTTATCCAAGGTTCAAAAAACATCAAAAAGCCATCACAAAGCCACCATTTCGATCTCAACAATGAGGCGCTCCCCCCAAGCTAAAGCTTAGGATTTAGAATCCAGCAGCATTGTCGCGGCTTACGCGAAGCCTCCACAACGCCTCGGCACCTTCGGTGCGGGCGGGTTTCAGTTGGGACTTCATCTGGTACCCATGAGGAAACTAATGTTGACAATGACATCATGCTCTAGGACCTGGTGACCTGGATCAAATCAAATATTTCGGGCGAAAAGCAAGCTAGCTTGACATCCAAGTCTTGGATGGTTGCTTGCTACATGGCACACAAGGCATATTTGACAAGGTTTTTTGCAGCGAGACTGCTGAGCACTGTGTATAGTAAGGGCCGCTGTTTGGGGCCACGCCTGCACCGGAATGGTTGGATTGTCGTGACTTTGAGGTAGGTTGGATCGTCGCCCCTCATGTAGGTAGGTGTCCCAGAAGGAATCAGGCACTATATAAGCCCTGAGGTATTCGGGCATCCTGTCCTTTGCCGTGCTCATGGCGACTCTCACCTGGACGTCTCTTGGCCCTCTCTTCATGGCTAGGTTTCGGTTTGGGCGACTTTGCGTTGTGAGTGACTCACACTTAGTCCAGCTGCCAGCTGCTGAGTTGAGAAGATTCCACCTGCAGTTTTGGTCTTTTCCGGTTGCAAGCTGCAGGGCGATTCGCTACCCAGGTGGTGGATGGAGTGGAGCACCGGCATCGCTGAGACCCCGAATGAAAGCACCCTGCCTCGACTCGCTGGGGTGATCTTCGCAGATGCTGGGACCCAAATGGGACCCGACTTGACGGAATCGTCAGGGGACCTAGGAACAAGAATGCTACTAACCGCTACTAGGAGCAAGGACGCTACTAGGAACAAAGGGCATCGCTACTAATAACAAAGGGCATCGCTACTAGGGGCTTTGCTTGCCGAATCCCAAACACACCTAGAATGAGGTTCAGGCTGTATCAGGGATACACAAATCTGACCATCTTGGGAGCTTTGCAAGGCAAGCAGCTCGACAGAGACGCTGTCACACCAGACTCTCTAGACTCCCCATGACTCCCCCACCTTTCTGTTTTTGCACCCACATGACATTTGGAACTGCTTCTGCCTTTCTGATTTGATTTGCCCACCAAGGAGATTTTATGCATTTTGGTGGTGGCCTGTGCCGCCCCCAGATCGTGCCAGTTCGCCCTGCACTGAATCTCGGGATAGACCGAACAGCGTGGTCTCAGAGCCCAAAGGTGAGTTCCACTTGGCCCAGCAGCGTTCGTTCTACGGACATGAAGTTTGGACATTGAGTAGGGAGTTCCAAGATTCAGCTCAAGGCTACGGAAATGGCTCGTTTGAGTATAACTTGAAGTGCTTCCCACTCGAAGTGATTTAGAGCACATGCGTTTGCTTAAAAGAAACAAACAGTCTGAAGGTAGCCTCCATGTGGCCCTAAGATTGCTAAAGGAACAAAAGGATGCTTGACCCACTGTTCCTGACCCCTCCAACAAACATGGAAGTTGACAATCCCTGTTTGCACTATAGTCACTAGCAGAGGAAATTGTTTTTTTTTTTTTTTCCCAGGGAACAGCCTCCACTTCCATGATTGTTTCAGGGAGGGTAAGAACATTCGTTAACTCAACTCTTTCGGGCCTTTCGGGTGTCAATTCGTCGAGTCTGTTCTGTTGTGTCTTGAGTTGGGCAGTTCTTGAAAGACCTGTGATGCCAGTCGTGCTGTTTGTTCACATGCCAACACTCCGTTATTGCTTTTCTTTGGAGTCACCAGCCAGGCATTGGCTTGAGGATTTGTTCTTTACTTCGCTCAGATGTCGAGAAAGTGGATGAAGCGTGACCTGCTTGCATTTTTGAAGCCTGTTCACAAGACATGCCAAATACTGTACATCCAAACATAATCACTGCTAGTTCGTTCAGAAGGTTGGAGGCCATCGCTAGTAGGTTGACTTGAAGTTGACTTGATGAGTTCCGTCACTTTGGAAGGTTCGGATCTTGAAGGTGGAGGACTTGTCTCTCAACGGCCCGACGGCCTTGTACAGGTGCTTCTTTCCAAGAAAGATGTCACACTCGGAGCTCGTAGCAATTCAAGAAGCAAGGGCAAGTCACGTCCTTGCTTTCCAGCAATAAGTGCGTGGTTGTATGGATGTGTGCAGTTGTGAGAAACCTTCGTTACCTGTGCGGACATGCAAATCCGAACTGGCTGCAGCTTTGACACATAGTAACAAGAAGCTAGTAGTAACAAGTGCATCGCTACTAGTAACAAGTGCCTTACTAGTAGTAACAAGAAGCTTTGACACAATTGGTCGGAATTCTTTGGGCCAAAAGATTCGCTTCTTCAGCTGATGCTCAGTGAAGTTGAGGTCTTTGTGAAGAACCTTATGGGCACGGTCTTGCTTGTTGAATGGCACACATGGCATAAAATCTAGGACCTAGGAGGCTTTTGCCTTATGACGTCTGCCTCACAAGGTGGAAAGAGACTGTGGGGCCTTGGCTTTGGTTCATTGAAGTTGTCTCAGGTGGAGAAGCTGCCCTGAGGCCGGGATGCACATGGTACACCGAAGGGACTCTGGAGAACGCTCGCTAAACATCCACAGCATTCCATTCTCTGAGGTTTGGAACCGTGTTCTGGGATGTTCTAGGTGGATTTGTGACAAAGGCTGCTTTTGCCTCAAATCTGCATGTTTGCCATCAATCTTGATGTTCAACATTACGATCGCATGAGTAACATGAGGAAATGTCCATATCATTCTATATCTATATCTATATCTATATCTATCGATAAAAGTTCTATATTTATCTGAGTGTTTCCACAGGTATGAGCTACGATGAACAATTGTAGCCGTGCTGACCGTTGTCCACCAATCAGGTCCGACCGTGGCTCTGGAGCCAGTCATGTACAGGCGGACGGCTTTGTGATGTTCAGCCCGCGTTGGCTTTAAACCAGGCAAACAACTGATTACAGTAACTGAATCTATGCCTAGTTTAAATGCTCCATTGATCTTTGCCTCAAACTGTGTACTGAAGTGATCTGAAGTGCATGTGATCTACTATTTCAGAAAGACAAATGATCCAAGGCATTTGAAATGAGATTTGTTTGCCTGATTTTTTGCCCTTCTTGTTTGGTACAGATTCGAGCAAATTTGACTCGTCACAGGATGAGTTGGTTTCACGCCGGTGATTGAGGGCCAGCATATGCCAGCACATTGTGTTCACTTGGCATTGGAAGCGACAATGCTCATGAGTACCTAGATGCCTCGTGTTCCTGCCAAAATCCACATCGGAAAAGACAGCATTGTTCTTTGCTTCAAGGACATGAGATATGGTTCTCCTTTCAATATGACCAACAAAGCTCTCTTGGTCAGATCTTGCCCTCAGGGTCGTGCTTTCAATCATGACCGCCCCTCAAATTGTTTTCAGACCGGTTTCGCCTTCGCTGTCTTTGTCGCAGCAAAATGCTTGCCATTCAAATCCCTTAAACAACTAAGGAAATGTTGCGTTGATTGCTTCTCTTGGCTACAAGCCCACTCTTGTTGAATGGACCCATAGCCAATTCACAACATAGTGCGGACTTGAGGTGTTTATCTTCCACTTTCAATCAGCTGCTCTCTGCGCTTTCTGCGAAGATCTCCTCGAGCTCTGACTCACAATGACACCATCATTCATCATCCATGTGGTGGCCACGAGTTGAGAAGTACTGCGTTGTTCCCAGCAGATGTGGGTAGAAACGGGTAGCAAGGTGAATTCATAGACAGCTCATGTGGTCACTGCCAAACAAGCCAAGGGCTATAGGCCCACATGCGAATGATTTGAGCTAGGGCAATGGGCGACAGCACTGCTTGGGGGCCAAGCGAACAAGCTCTGACGCGAAGACCCAGGTCTTTTTGAATCAATTTGATGCTTTTTGAACTTCTGCAGCCTTTCTTGCAGCCTTTATGCCTCCCAGGCCATCTCTTGTATGATGAGGCAGTGTCAGATCCTCAGCTTCAAAGAAACGACCTGGACCTGCCTTTTCCCAGATGTCTGATGTCGGCCTCCGGAGTCATCTTCAAGATGGGCATCCAACCGTTTAGCACGTCACTGAAGCGGTGGCTGCTTCTATCTTGGTGGTTTGCTTGACCGCCTGTCATGAACAGCAGAACCATCCCTCGGACGATGATCAGTTAAGGAATAAGGAGAGGTCACCCAGTTGATGCTGAGGTTTGCCCGAGGACACCTCTGGGAGTTCAGCTGGATCCAGGCGGGTCGTTTGCGGGGATCACCCTTTCTCGTGCACGGTGTACTCCAGACCTGAGCTCCAACATCTCTCTAGTTTCCTTGAATCCTGCACAGCAGCCAATGTGACTCTTTTGGCAATGTTTGCAGCACAAAGGGAACTTCGAGGATACGCAACCTTTGACAACAGCCTGACTTTTGCCTTGCTGTTCTTAAACATTTAACTTACCTGCTTTCTACTTTCATGTTTCATGATGTGATGCACCTTTCCCTTGTCCGATGTTCCTGGGATCACAAAGACTGGGCTTCCATGGCGGGTCTTCATACGACCAAGTGGGACTTAGGCTCAAGCGTCCCAGAGGAGACATTTGGTATATGATGCCATGCTGATGATTTAGCAACCTTAGTGGGCGAGTCGGCCCTTTTGAGCGTTTCAATTGAAGAAACTCATTGGACTATATTGGACGTATTCTTCCAATTATTCGACTCGCTCCAGTGCTTTAAGTGCTTTTAGGATTTGATTCCACCAGTCCTTTTGCACCTTTGGTCACCGAGCGCTTTGGGTGGAACTCTGATCTGCACAGCAATGTCGGAGGAGGGAGTTGACTCCCGGCCACTTGGACTGTCATGGGAAGTCTTTGGGTATGGTGGCCCCAAGTAGATACTGACTGAAAAATAGATATCCCTGGAAACTGAAAAGGGCGCCCAAGGCCATTTAAAGTTGCATTCACTTCTTTATATATGTTTATTTAGTAATATTTTGTATAAGGTATAGTGACCCATCCGAGGTAGAGAGGTGTATTAGCTAGAATTACGAGGTCAGACACGTGGGTTTAGGTGATTAAACTTTAAGGATAGGATACCCACCACCACCGCCACCACCACCACCACGACCTTTGTGTCCTGCAGCCCGACCTGCCGAGACAGCCAAAATGACAGCTTTACAGCCGAGGCAGAGAAAAAGCCTTTTCAACAGCACGATCAGCATTTAGCAGTCCGACCAGCGGAGTCAGCCAGGGGGATATTGGAAGGCAAAATCACAGCTTTGCAGCACCAGGAAATTTAAAGGGCAGCTCCAGCAACCCGACCAGCCGATACAGGCAAAGGGGCTTTTGAAAGAATCGCAGCTTTCCGCCCAAGGCAAAGCAGCGGCAGCTTGATGCTTCTTTTGCCAGCGAACCGTGAATGTTCTTTTTGCCGCCAGTTTTTGAGCCTTGAGAAGCAAACGAGGCAGAGGAAGACAAAGCTGAATCATCTCAGCCCACGCATCCAAGAAGAGCCACGGAAGCAGACTGACCACACCCCATCACGCAAGAGCAGCCATGGGAGACAAAGCAGAATCATTTCAGCCAGAACGGCCATGAAAAAACAAAGGGGAGCAAAGAGAGACAGAACATAATCATCTCAGCCCAGCATCCAGAGACAAAGTGGGATGCTGAACGTGTATATTTGGGGGGTCTCCCAAAGTCAACTTCAGTTGTCATCTCGATGAGGCCAAATGTCAGAAAACAATTGAGAACAATCTTTGTGATAGCCTTGGCTTCCTATCGTTTGAAACTGGGATGTCCGACTCCAATGCAAGGTTCTAAAGTGGGAAGATGGAGCAAAGCAATATGGTATGCCTGCACATGGTTGCCCTATTCAACAAAAACATATCAAAATCCTGCGGCGATGCTGCTCCGATCTCCCCCTGCTCAAGTCTAAAGTAAACACGTTCCCCCGCCACAATGGTTGTAAACAAGAAAAACCCGAAGGAACACCAACCAACCGAAACAACAACACTAAAACACAAACGGTCGCAACTTCTTGGGCCTTCATGGAAAAATCTTCCGACAGAAACTGTGTCAGCCATGTGCGCATGACCAAACGAATGAACGAGTCCGTCATCGTGTGAGGTCCGTGCGACCAAACCCTGTGCGAACCCCGTGTGTGCGTATGAAAACAAGCAATTTGAACAAACCCTGTCCACGTTTGTCAAGTACGAATATGTCAACGCTACATCACCACAAACATATCAGTAGGTCCCCTCCCACCCTGACCACCGAAACGCGACGCACGTGACAGGCGCAAGGGCGGTGTATCAGCCGCGCGCCAGAAACAACAGCTGTTTGTCCATCCGCGGCTCCCTGCCGACATCCCTAGGCAACCAAATGCAGCCGGTCATTTGTTTCGGTTGTTTTTTCGCCACCGGCACTTGGTTATCGCCACTGGCTATTTGGTTTCTGTTTTTTTTTGACAAATGCAGTGCTTGGGGCCTCAAAACGAGCCAACCTTTACATTGATGTGGGGGTGCTTGGGGAGTTGTGTTTTGAGGCAGGCTCACATTGGATTTGGCACGTTCTGGGCATTCCTGCCTGATGCCTTTAATAACATCCTTTAACTTTTCAAAAGGACATCAGATGTTTCCATAGTCGAGGTCGAAGGCAGATGCCCCCCACAACGCCAACAGGAATATCAGATTGATATGAACGTCTGAACGACTTATAGACTATATGATGATTATATGATTTCATATTGGAACGTGTTCAGTTCTGTCCTCTAACACTGAAAACTGTGCGGGTCAGCAGCCACATCCGCAAGAACGAGGTTTCTACTGGAGGAGGTTCACCCGCAAACTCCAGATCCAAGGAGGTTCCGGTTCCGTGGGTTCCGAAGGTTGGGGTCAGCAGGTTCCAGATGCATGGTGTTTCAAAAAAGGACAATTATACAAAATCAATATGAGTCGATATTGTAGTAGGTCTCAGATGTTTTTCGTCAATGTTTTTTAGCTGTGTGTTTTGTTTTATCAACCATGACCAGATTTCATCAGCATCCTGTTTGATTGGTGCCGAGGCCATGCGCCTGCTCGCACGCGCTCGCGAGGTGGCCAGCAGAGTCCAAGTGGCGGTGCCCTCTAGGGCGCCTCAATCAGAGCCATTTGGCGCAAATTGATGGGGGATTTTTTAGGGGATAATATTGGATATTTGTGAATAGGGAAACCAGTTTGATGGTTTTCCTTTGTGTTTGTCAGGCTTGAAGTGGCACTGAGACGTGTCACGCACAGCGATTGTGCGGCCATCCCTCCAGAGGACAGCTTGAGATGGACAACTCGATGATCTGTTGAGCCAACCCAGAAGATGGACGGTCGCAAGAAGCCGAAAAGTATGTTGAAGGGAGTGATGTAGTATCCCATAGTCAAGGTCGAGTACTTTGAAAAGCACCATTTCTGTCCTCGTCGAAAAGCCTCAGCTATCTCGATCTTTGAGGATTTGAAGCTGGCCATAAATCTGATCGTGCAGAGTGAAGATGCCTTGGCAAAAGCCTTGCGCCATATACAGGCAGGTCTGGCCGTCAGGCGCACACAGACACACAAAAACATAACATGTCACATGCATGACATATGCCTTTGATCGTTCGTTTCGAACGAATCCAGGTGAACGTGGCTGCGCCTCCCAACGAATGGAGGCAACAGAAGGGGTTCTGCCTAGAGGATGGAGACATGTAGGCAACATTCAGAAGCCCAAAGCTTCCTGATAGCACAGTCTCACAGCAGTGCATCCCGCATCTTTCTTGTTGCAGGCACCCTAACCTCTCCGGTCCTTTCCTTTTTGCTTGGCTCACTGGAATTTCGCTTGGACACCTCGAGCAGCCGCCCAGTTGTATCCATTCCAGGCGCGTGAATGGTGCGCTGGCGCTCTTCGAAGCGCTGGCAGCACGAGGCAATGGCCTGGTGGGCAGGCCTGTGCCGTGAGGTAAAGGACGACCTGGAGATGCGGCTGCAGCATTGCCACAAAACCACCGACCAAAACCCCTCATGAACCATCATGAACCTCTCAAATGACTCTATATCCCCAAAACATTCCAAAACTATCCAAAAGATGTGATGGATTTGAATCCACAAATCCTCACCCATTCTTCACCAGTTTGTTAGTTTGAAGTTTGCAATGGGTTAAGTTGGACTTGCTCAGTCGCTTACTCCGAGTACCTTGTGGCAAAGGATATCAGGCCTCCTGCTTATAGAAACTATTCTTTTCTCCTTAATTTTTGCTTGTATTCGTCAGGGGCAAACCACACGGAGCTCTGGGGTTGGTAATAGATGGTAATAGGATGTAATAGGACAAGGAAGACATGATTATGGTCCGGCTTGTTGGTTCACTATCATTAATCGACGACATGGTTTGAGAAGCTGGGAGGTCCTGGTACGAAGTGAAGATGGAAGCGCGTTTGAAGGAGCTTCAAAACTTCTGTGCGCCTGGGTGGGTTGGCAGGGTGCGGAGGAAAAGCGAGGGCCGAGGTAGATCACCAGGCAAGTTTGAATTGTTCCGCTGAGAATTGCAATCAACAACAGAGCAACGCTTAATGTGCCAATGTGCTAGACATCTGACATCTTTCAATTTCCCACAGTTTTGCACCCCATGAGGAGAGTTGGAAGGATTCCCACAGTTTTGCCTTCATGCTGGTGAGACCATTGGAACTGCGAGGAGGATGAAATAGTGGGTCGTCCAAAACCTGCACCTCTCCAGATTCAGTTCTTCGAAGAAACCGGTGTTTCAAGGTTGCTAATCATGCTAATCTCACACAGCAGAACCCCAATTTCACAACACCTTATTCCGCAGACCAAACCCGAGTATGTCAAGTATTTCCTGCTCCATGAGTGTAGCAAACCACCCACCAAGCACGGCGTGTTCCTCACCGCGTTGGGCTTCGCTTCGCTTCCTTGGTCGCTTCTCGCCGCTTGAGGCCACGACGAGGACCCCCGGGTGGCCACGCTGATCCATCGGGCTGCCCAAGGGGCCATCCGGGCAGCGGACGCCCTGCACTGGTCCGACGGGGTGCTGGACGACGAGGCGTGGAGTTCCATTCATCGGTTCGGTTCGGCCAACGCGTCGATGGAAGCCTCAGATGTGGGCAGCCCGGAAATCGAAGGGCTTCCGTGAACAGGAAGAAGGAAGCAAAAGGGCAAAAGGAGGTCAACCAAAATCGTGTAGATTCAGGAAGTTGCGAAGTGATGTTGAAAGGTTTCTAGAGTTTCTTGGAGCTAGCCATTTGTAAGGCATGGGAAGGGAAGGATTATGAAGGATTGGAATGTGTACCAAAAGGGAGTCTTGTGATCCAAGTTTAAGACACTGTTGAATCGATATCCTTATTGTTTAAAAGCAGAATCTCTGAATCCCCAAGTCCCAAAGACCCATGAACTTGCAGAGCATTCCTGCCATTTTTGTAGCCAAACAGCGCGTAGGTGAAGCGACTCGGAAGTTGGGTCAAATCCAACGGGTTCCTCCGCGGAGTTTCCTTCAGCTTCCTCCATTGATCTTCCTCCAGGATCCAGAGGTTCATCGCGAAAGTGAGCTTCACTCCGCGCCGGAGTGTACCGGCCAAGGCAGACCAAACCGGCCAAGAAAGGAGAAACGCCCTTTGCAATGAAAACCTTAATGAGATTTCATGAGCGCTTAACTATCATTTTTGTGAAAACCGTTTGGGTGACCAATTTTTGTGTCATTGGTGCATGTTATTCTCCAGAATTTGGGAAGCGACTTCAGCACCGTGTGCAGATGGTTGCCCAACCTCAGTGGTTGACTTGTGCTCCCTCGCAGGCAGCAACGTGAAGCCATCCGTCATCGGCAAGTGTGACGACGCGAAATCTGGCTCGACCACGCCACACACGCCACGCACACCCACTACACCAACAGCAGCTCGAGCTGGGACTGGACGAGAACAATCGCAGCATTTGGTGGTGGGGCGTTGATGTGTCGGGGGCATCCAGGAAAGTTGGATTGGCGGTGGTCGGCATACTTTCTTTCCATCAGTGCAGTGCTTCATTGGAGATGCCTTTTGACATGGCAAATACTGGTTGCTCTCCTACGTTCTTGTTCCGTTTTGTCATGGAACACTACCTACGTTTTGTCATGTGTCTCAGGACCTAGACACCCTTCTGATTCAGAATGCATAGAATAGCACACATGCTCCATACGGTGGTGTAAGATATTGAGTGTACTGGAACGGCTTGCCTCAACCCGAATCGATTAGTGTCCACAGCCAAGAGCATGTCCACTGAGGATATGCCAAAGGAGGCGACATACGTTCGCTGCTGCTGCTGTTGTTGGCGTCGTGTGCAGGCAAAGGCTTGTCATGATCGAGCTTTTGGATTTTTTTAAATAAGTCTTTTTGTGCTTTGAGTTCTCGTGGGTCTTTGAGAGGCGGAAGCATGGTGCAGGTCATGTCCAGGTAAGAAAACCCATATGTTATGTTCTGTAAAGGTTAAGTAGTAAGGAAGTCAATGTATGATCAAAACGCCTTTCTTACTACCTTGTCTTTGCTGTTCTTTAGTTTAGCATTGTCCTCTCACACGAGGGGATTCTTTGGACTTCCATCAGCTACCTAAGCTGATGGCACTGTAAGACCAATAGCTTAAGCATGCTGTGAGAATGTGAGGTGCTGTTGCAATGTTTCACACAGTAGTCGGAGATACAGTAATTTCACTCACTGGGGCATCCATCAGACATGAGTGCAAGTGTAGCTGTATATACTCGTACACAAAACTATAGATAAGATAGTAAAACACTTAATCCCTATATGAGAGCTAACGTTTCACATGGCTTCGCTCACGGGCAGATTTCCCGTCTTGGCGAGCCTGAGGCTGAAGCGACCGGTGATGAGGAAGAAAATTCCTTGCTCCGCTAAGACTCGTCGCTTGTGAAACTGCAAACAGCTGAGAAAAAGACAAACAAGTGGCAATGCGGCTGGCAGCTCACGTGCCTGGAGCGGCCAGTTTCTCTTGCTGTTGACCGTTGACCCTTTTCCCATCCTCAGGTTTTCCATGGTTAAGTGTCCCTAAACATCTAGGAACCAAATCATTAGCGCGAGCTATCCTTCGTCCTAAGTAGTAGCTATTTAAACTACTAGCTACCTCTCCCTTACTTATATAATTAAGAAGGTGCCTACTTAATTAAGTAGGGAGGGGGGGAGCGGTCTAAAACAACTAAAACACAATTCCTGATCTCTTGGACTCTTGAGAAGTTCCGATGAGTCGAGTTGGGAGAGGCTTTGCTATACCCTGGCTGAAGGCAAGGAATCCTTTGCACAATGTCAGGCAACCAAGTTGACGCATGTTGACACACTGGAGTTGACACACTTTCAGATCTTTCAGGGACGAAGAACTCCAAGAGACTTTGCACCATGCCTTATATAAGATGTTTTGATGTCAATTTCATGTCATGTATCATTGAAACATCACATGCCAAAGGAGTAGGTGGGCACGTGTCTTTACTTTTTCTAAACTATCTCGAGCTTGTACCAACCTTTACTCTCCCAAAAACTGTTCCAACACTCTCTGAGCTAGAGATAAGCCTCCTTGATCGGCGATGTTTGGCAGTTTTTGGATCGTGTGGTTGCACCATTTTTTGACAGACCAATTAGATTGGAACATCTTGGAACCTTCGAGCTCGTAAGCTCATAAACTTTTTCTACGCTATAGGCTACTTAGTAATGTACTTAGCAGACTTGGATCTTAACTACCCCATGGCTACGAACGCTTCTTCAAGCACTTGCTTTGATGCTGGGGCTTAGGGAAACATTGGTATGGCATGGCATGGGAGGAATTTATTACTAAAATGTCCCATGCTGTGAAGAATCCATCCTTATTACTCCAATGCAGCGTTCTAAGGCCCGGAGACGGAGCCCTCCTGCAGCCCATGTCAGTGCGAAGCTCAAAACGAAGCTTGTGACCTGCAGGACACAAGGTCCTTAGTAGTGACTCGTGAGACTCATGACTGCCATGACTCCAGTTTGGATGAAGCAATGAAGCACATATGTGCACCAACGGACTTTTATTGGTCAAACCAGAATTGATCGACGCTCATGAAGTTGGCACGGCCCGCTTGTGGCCGACAGATCTGACACCACAAAGTCAATTTGGCAGCACCCCTCTTGCTGACGCAAGACTATTCCAAAAGCACACAAAACCTAGTTGCAGTGCCTTTGCTTTTGAGTGAGCACAAACTGATCAACTGACCTTTGGCTTACTTTCGCAATCCAGACCAACAAAGATCAACAGCCGCTGAGCCATCGCTTGAATCAGGACGGTACCGCCTTGTGAGAGCTTCTGTGAGGCGATGGGAATCGGCAGATTCAGCTGCCTGCTTTTGCAGATTAAAGGGACCCTCAGATTCATTCAGGAGTTGAAAAGGATTCAATAAAGAACAAGTTAATTTGCCTCCTTCTTCGCCTTCGACGAAGCCTGGGCATGTGGAAAAACATATGAACACATATTTTATCATATTTCTCCCTTTTCGGCCATGAAGGATTATGAAACCGCTTCATAGGCGCCAGTTCGCTCGGAACTGCCCTTGGGCTCGGGTAGCTCAGAGTTTGCTGGGTGAAGCGGAAAAAGATGCGGTTCGCCCGCTTGGAGGTGTACTCGTTTGGTTTGGGTTCCCTTTGAGCCATCACTCAGCATTGTCTTTTTGTAAAACGAGGCTAACGGCAAAATCCAGGTTTGATGGTTAGTGTCTAGTAGAGGATTGACTCAAAGGTGTTTCCTGAATTCTGAATACATCTGAATATGTATTTGATCATATTCCGCCAGGTGAAGCCTCATTGCTGATCTCCCCCTTTGCTGTGTTTGATGGAGTTTAGCAAACCTCCCTGTCAGGAACTCCTGTGAAACCTTTCAGGAGGCCCATTTCTTCTGGCCAACCGCCTCTCTGGTGCGTGCCGTCCTTCCCACTTTCAATCACTCTGTTGACAAAAACAGTGAGGTTCGGCCTGCCATTTGGATCGCCAGTGCCTGACGTCCCAGCCAGACTAGACCGAAGCCGGAGGTTTCGCCAGGTTTTGTCCACAATGAGAGCTTTTGAGGGCAATGTTGGAAAATGCATGTCACACGGGACAGGCGTGAGTGGCATTGAGAAGCTTCGGGTCCTTATTTTTGGCCTCGCCAGCCCGTGCCCGCCCGGGTTTGCACCTTTTATTAAAAAAAACATAGGAAGAGGCCATTTTTGGGGCCAATCAGATCGGCTTATTTTGTGATCGCAGATCTGACCGGGAAGGAGTATGAAGGGAGCCTCCCAACGGGTCAAGTCAACCCCACATCAAACCAGCGGTCGCCGACCAGGTCACCGACACGATGACAGAGACATACCAGACTGTTCCCAGATGTTTCCACGATACATTGGAAGGGCTACGAAGGGCAGCTACCTTGGGAGAGTGAAACGATCTACGATGGGATGTAGATCGTATTGTCTTCAGTATCGTTTCACCCTGACATCGTAGCGGATCTACCAAGGTGGGGGTGACCCCCTGGCAGCATGTCACGTAGGGATTTGCCGACGCCTACTCTGGGCTGGTTGGGAGCCCTAGCAGTTGATCCTGCCTGCTGTTGTCGGACAGACAATGTACCCCCAAGCAGCAGGGTGATATAGTGGGGAGTAAGTCACCTTGGCATGCCAAAAGTTTATAGAGCCGATCATAATCATGGCTATGACCTGCATGTTCCTCTGGTCCCTTTGCCTCTTTCTACATTGGATCCTTAATTTTAATACGTCGCAGTACATCGCAGCACCAAAAAATCACGCCTTGATCAAGCTGGTTGTGATCTAATTTGCCTCTCCCAATGAGTCCAGTTGCCGCCAACTTGGGACACATGTAGAAGCCATCCAAGTGACTCAAATTACATATTGGAGGTCGTGATGGTTGTGCCATGACATGAAATCTTTGCTGACCGGATATGAGACCACTTGGATTCACTGGTGCTACTGTAAATGCTGTTGTGCTTCTTGTGGTGCAAGGCCAAAGATGCGGCAATGCCGATGGTCATGATCGTTGCATCTATGGAGGTCTGAGTCTAGGAGCGTCTTTTTCCACACGCCATGATGCTTATTGCTATTATTCAAATTATACTATACATATCTATACATACATTATGTTGTTCTTTTTTTTAAATGTTTTTACAACAACAAGCAATGCTGAGACAATGTTCGGATGGCCTTGGGCGTCGCTCAGAGCTCACGAAGGTGAGAGATGCACTGACGGCAGGTGTGTAGGCGCGGTTCGTTCGCTGCGATATGCCGATGAGATGAGCCACCATAGGGAAGTGAAACTGAATGGAGGGACATTGAGGTGTCTTTATGAGTGAGGCTTACATTTACAAGTTTCAAATAATCTATGCTGATAGCTCCACTAATTACCATGAGTCGTACAATGTTTATTAAATGGATGATCAATGATCCCTTTGCACATGATAAGCGCGTTGTGCCACTATGAATGTTTATCAGATGTGTATCATGAATCTAGTCGTGCTCAATCTGTCACTCTAGATGATCTCCAGGCTTTGGCACAAATGTGGCCTGCTGGGATGGGTTTGGAGCACCAAGTTACCACAGGATGGTTGTGGATCTGCGACAAACTCCAACGGTCTTTGGACCTGTCTTGTGTCAGATGATGCGAACGTATGAGGTCATCCGACATGTATCCATCCTGCTATGGATATCGACAGTATTCAGACTGTATTCTTTAAGTCTAGAGTCTCTAGCATTTGAGAATGGAACTTCGAGATTAGGCAGCACCATGTGACAGGGCATCGATGGGAATCGGAATTAAACCATGCGAACCATCAAACACTCTCCAAAAACCCTATCGAAGCATCTGAAATCAACATACAAAAGTAACATCAAAGCATAAACACACACACAAAGACATAAAGATCGTCAAGTGGGAGCGCTTCTTTCTGCTGGAAAACAAGCAGTTTTAACACCGGCGCACCGGCGTGGCGTCTCATGGCGTCTCTCCGAGCCGGTGAGGTACAGGGAGGGCCGGGACCTGGATTGTCACAAGGGCTGGTGTGAGCCTCAGTCGACCTATCTCGACGGGGACCGTCCTTAGCTCGTCTCGTTGTACCGACACCAAGGAAAGAAGATTAAATATGGACACTGAAGGAAGGATGTTTGGATCCCACGTCCTCTTGCTTCTTTGCACTCCATTGATCTTGGTGAAACTTCAGAAAAGATAGCGAAATGGCGAAAGAAAGCAACTTATGGTGGAGTGGATGGTTAGTCAGACAAGAGTGTGACATGTTGACACGGGCCGCCCCTGACAGATCTGAGTGATCTCCGTCTCCCACAGATCTGCAGGTACTGCTTGCGGTCACTTTGTGTGTTTTGATCTGAGCGGTGGAAGGACCAGTTGGCTGTGGAACATCTGTATGTTGGAACCTGGGAAAACAGCCTCCACAAGGAGTGTAACAGTTGTGGTCACCAAATGCAGAAGAAGGAAGCTAAACTGATGAGACTGACCAAATTTGTTGTGTGAAGGTTCTGGTAGATGTACAAGCAGTTGAGAATTGTTCAGATCCTGTGCTTGGCTCACTTGTCCGGACGCTTTACATTGCTTTAGGATGCTTTGGATTGCTATCGACCAAGTGGACCTTTGACCTACTGAGGCCACAGCTGCCACGCTTCCACAGCTGCCGTGGGGAGCATCCCAACGAGTGCCCCGGCATGCTGCAGGCTGCTGCTTGTAAAGGCAGATGCCAAGAAACAATTAATTTGATACATACTATTTCTTTGAGACCTTTGCTGTGCAATTCTTTCACCTTTTTTCATAGCAAGCAGCCTGTCAAGGCTGTTGACAGCTTCTCTGAACATTCTTTTAATGGAGACTTGTGAATAGAATCTAGAGAACAACTGCAGTTTGCAGCCCAGAGGTTAAGTTGCTCTCGCACAGTTGAGAACCAGCCAAGTGAGTAAAACGAAGCAAAACGTCTTTAGAACAAACACAGGCGCAGCTCTCTGAAGACCTGTATTGACCTGCATTTCCAACGTAGTCCGGCAAATGGGAAGAATGCCAATAATGAAGTACGGACCGCGCACAGAATGAATGAATTGTCCTTGAACAAGTGATTTTTTTGCTCGGTGATCCTGTGTTTGCTCCTTGGTCTAGCGAGAGCAGAAGACAGTGCAAGCCAGCACTGTGCTTGGGCTTAGTTGCCTCGCAGGGGCTGAGCGACTTCGCCCAACTTGAGTCCTACTATACAATATAGAAAATACGTATTGCATTAAACACACATACTTTATATAAACATATATAAATACATTCATGACTTGTCATGACAGTATTTTGTATTACTTGCTTGTAGGCTCGAGGGTAGGAGATTTTCCTTTTGGGCTGTGGAGGATGGAAGGGGGCACTTGTGCCCCCGATCCTGAGGACACGGCCCAATTTTTGAACCTGCTCAATGAAGTAGGCCTTGTAGGTTCTAGGTTGGCTGTCAGCCATGGAAGCGAAGGGACCTTAGCTAGGCAGCTGGCAGAGAGACTTGGACTAGAGCCTAAGCCTTGGCATACCACCTTCATCATGGGGCAGGTCCGCGAGGCCGTACAGATGGCGGACCTCGATGAGCGTCTCAGTGGAACCACATCGACTAGATCGATCCAGAACTTGTTGGATGCCAAGGCAGCGATGGAGAAGGAAAAGGTGAAGACCCTCGAGCCTGGGGATACATCCATAGTAGTCCCGGTGAAGCCGAAGCGTGGCACACTGGGAAGAACTGTCCGTCTGAGGAGCGGGCGAGTTGCGGCGGAGGATGAGGTGAATGACAAGATCTTGGACAAGCTTGTAGGTGAGCTGGTGCTCTACAAGGCCCCGGTCCTGGATGAGGTGAAGAAATCGATGAATCCAATGAGGGCAAAAGATGCCCTGCTGGGCAAGTATCGGATCTCGACAATTCGACGGTATCTTGCATCCTGGCAGCGTTTCCGGGAGTGGGCTGATTCATTGGGGAGACCGGGACAGAGGCCGACTAGCGTGACCCTCGTCGACTACATGTATGCGAGAGAAGAAGAGGGGATGGGGCCCTCCATTCCGTTGGCAGTGAGCACAGCCGTTGCATGGTTCGAGCGGACGGCGGGAACACCTGAGGACGAACAGATGATGAGCCAGGCCTTCCCCCAGATGGTCATGAAGGAGTTGACGAGAAAGCTTGAGCAGAAAGCACCGCCGGTGAGGAGGGCACCCCGCTGGCTGGGTTGCTTCGTGGCGCCAATGGAGACGCTGGTAGTGGACAAGGATGTCCCCTTTGAAATTAGAGTTTGTGCTTGGTTCAAACTCATCAAGCTATGGGGTTCGATGAGATTTGACGACGCAGCGCACCTGAAGATGTCGGAGCTGAAGTTCTATGACGGTCAGCTGACGGGAATGATGCACCAATCCAAGACAACTGGTGCAGGCAAGCGCGTCAGGGAACTCCCTATCTTCATAGCAAGGGATTCCTATGTGCTCCAGGACGACTGGCTGGCAGTGGGTTATGACCTAGTCAAGCTGCAGATGCCACGAGAGAGAGTTTTCCTGTTCCCCGAGGGTTGCTTCTATGGCACGAGGTATGGGACATCGCATGTCTCATACGCGGAGGCAGTGGCTGGAAGTTCAAGGGCATTCGCATTGCTGGAAGGGTACCATGGTCCCCTTATCCCCTCGGGCTGGGAAAGGTTCTGGTCAGAGCACAGTGAGAGGGCAACTTTGCCCAGCGGGCTGGCAGCGCTTGGAGTGGAGAAATCGAGCAGAGACCTCTTGGGCAGGTGGTGCCCTGAAGGGTCTGATGTATACGTTCGTACTTACAACACCATTGTCAAGAAGATGCAGCAAAAGATTGTGGCAGTGTTGCGGGGCGAGGCGGCTTATGAGGTGCTTGATGAAGGCTCCATCATGGAAGAGCTCAAGACCTGGTTGCATGAGAAGTGGACAGTCCCAGAGGACCAGGCTGAGAAAGTGGTGGAGGCATGGAAGGACAAGCTCGGAGTGAGAGGAAGACCGCCAGCAACAGTGCAAGTGTCGGATGAAGACACCACGATCTACGACGGATCCCAAAGTGAGAAGGAGATGGGAGACCAGGGCGAGAAGGACCCGAAGAAGAGGAGGATCACCGAGACCCTTGAGGAGGAGAGAGAGGGGAACTATGTGGTCGTTTACAGGCGTGCCGGACGGGGCACGCTGCATCGGCTTGGGGCTAAGGGCTGCTGGATGGCGAAGAAGCGGCTCTTCGTGAGGTCTGAGGTCCACGAGGAGCTTCCGGAGCCCGAAGAATACACACTCCGATGCAAGCTGTGTTGGGGTGGAGGAAGCGAGCCGTTGAGCGAGTCCACAAGTGATTCGCGAGACGAATTGAGTCTCAGCGATTGAAAAGGGATCGTTTGAGCCGCAAGGGTAGGCAGTTGAAGTGAGTTCAATTGCACCTGGGTCGCACCCAGGGACGGACATGTGTGCCGCAGTACACGTAGATAGCCTAGGTCGCACCTGGGAATTGCCACTGGTAGGAGGTAACAGCAACCCTGGGCCGAGCGCGCCGCTCAGGCTCAGGGTCGGGGCGCAGCAAGCGCAGAGCACATACCAGTGGAGGAGAAGGCTGGGGCGCACCACAGACCGAGGGAACATTTCACATCGCATGTGAACGGGTTTGTGCATAGCATGCACTTGAGGACACCGCTGTGTCAATAGCAGCATCGCATGCTGTGTGCCTGATCGGTTCAAGCAGGAGAGGCGGGGCGCTCCGGAGCGGGCGGCAGCATGCCACGGGCGGTCATCTCGGAGGCCGAAGGGAACAAGGCACTTGAGGCTGCAGGGACGGACATCAAGTACCTGCTATCGAGGCATGAGGTCAGCGTTGACAATCAGAAGCTGTTCTTCCACCATGGAGTGACCACCATAGAGAAGCTTTCGAACTTTGCAAAGGACAGAGATGATTTGGCAGCAGTTCTCAAAGAGCACTGGGAGCTGGACTCGGACAGATCACTGGAGGAGAGGGTGCAGGTGGCGGCAATCACCTGCGCCTTTAGCAATGCAAAGACAAGGAGCCAGAGGGCCGCAGAGGTCGATGCAGAGTACGACACACTGCAGTGGTCACGTCCCGTAGTGGCGGGAGAATGGGCGGCAATGCGCTCAGCATTGGAGAAGAGGTACGGCCACTTGGAGGACAAGATCTACCCGTCGAAAGAATTTGTTGAAAAGAAGTTGGCGGAGGTTGAAAGTGGTGAATATCGGGCTGAAGAGCTCACAGAAGTTGTGTCGAAAGAAGAAATCGAGCCCGATGGGGTCGTGCCCATTTGGGACTCCAAGGGCCGTCTGGCCATGCGGAAGGCATCTACGAAGGTGCAGGAACCGGCAAACGCTGAAGAGCTTCGTCGGCGACTGACTATTTGGAAGAATGCCATGGTCATGATCTCGCTGAAGCACTCGAACCGGCATGAGCTACAAGGTGCTTGGGAAGAGACGGTGGAGCAATGCAAAGATTATTTGTTGGGTGACTATGTCTATGGGTTGAGTGCCAAAGACGCTGAGGGCCAGACCTTTGCTGCGCCACCATGGAAGTTGGTCATAGCCTATGAGAGAGCCATCAGGAAGCAAGCAGTCAAGCTCACCAATACAGAAGGCAAGCCCCTGACCGTGGCACTCAAGATGGCATGGAAAGACGCTACAGTGAAGGAGAGGAACTTCACAACCCCTTTGGCATTGTATGCAAAAAGGCCGACGCCGCCGTGGAGGGAGCAGCCTGTGCAGAAGTGGGCCGCTACGGAGAAGGGCGCCAAGGGGAAGGACAAGGGCAAAGGAAGGAAAGGCAGGGGCAAGGGGGGCAATCCGCACTGTGCAACACATACTCCTGACGGAGAGCTGATCTGTTTTCGTTACAATACACCTGGAGAAAAATGCAAGATGGCCAAGTGCAAATATCGTCATGTGTGCGGGATTTGCTACAGTGACAAACACCCCCTTTACGAATGCAATCCGAAGAACCGGAAGGAAGCAGGGGCTCCCGACACGGACGGGACAAAGTGAGGACACTTGAAAGTCCTCTACATCTTTTCCGGGAGGAAGCGCCGCAACTCAGTGGCTTGGTACCTCCGGGAGCTTGCACTACGAAAGGGTGTTCAGGTGGAGATCACCGAATTGGACATCCAGTCTGACAGACGATCGGACTTCACAATCCCCGCTGTACAGAAGAAGTGGCTTCAGTTGATTGCTCAAGGCATCTACTACGCTGTTATCGTGACTCCACCCTGTTCGACCTTTTCGAGAGCAGTGTGGGCGAATGATTTGGGGCCTTTCCCACTGAGGAGTTCCACCTACCCGAGAGGGTTTCCATGGAATAGGGCTGATCGGTTTCACAAAGCAGAATTTGGGACGATTCTGGCAGACTTCTCTTTTGAGGCACTGAAGCGTCAATTTGCATGCGGGCGGCGCATAGGGCTGATGGAGCAGCCTGAGGACTTGGGCAGGACCAACTATGACAGAATTCCAGGCCATCAACCGGCCTCGATGTGGCAGTTTTGGCAGTTTCGGCAGCTTCTTGAGCTTCCAGACATTCAAACTGTTGTATTCGCCCAGTCTGACTTCGGTACAGAGTCGCCCAAGCCTACGAGGTTTCTGTTGCGAATTTTTGCACCTTTACATGCAGCTATGCGTACAGGCCTGCCACAGTTTGATGAGCATGGATGGTATCTTGGGCCTCTCCCTCGGCAATCAGGGGGCGCCCCCCTGATCGGCAAGTCGAAGGGAGTTTTCCGTACGGCACAGTCGGCAGCATGGCCTCCACAGTTGTGCAAGTGGACTGCTGAGGCTATTCTCACCTCCTTTCTGCAAGAGTGGGAAGGGGGGGGTGAGATCAATTCCACTCCAACTTCGAGGAAGAGACGACGTGAGGAGGATCCAGCTGGGGTTGAGGTACTTGAGACACTTTCGGCTTCGAAGAGAAGGCGCTTGGAGGAGGACCGACCCGTGCCCGGAGGGCATCCGAAGGTGGTGGATCCGATGAACCCGCCAGTCCCTGGGGGGCGGGGACCCCCGAGGGCATGTCGTTGGAAGGGGCTGGAGGCATCATTCCACGATGGAGGTGGGTTATCTTCGCCAGGGAGGTGGCCACCAGAGAGGAGGATGAAGCTGGAGGGCAGAGAATGGGTGATGGTGAGACACCACATTTTGTTAGCGGCTGTGAAGCGCTTGGGGAGTGTGGCGGAGGTCGAGAAGGAGGCCTCTAGGATGGCAAGAGGAGGAGACTCATTCCAGCTCGTCAGAGAAGAGGCCTTTCTGCAAGAGATCAGGGACATCCTCGCGGAGAAGTTGGACATTCCGAGGCAGGAGCGCCCGGAGGAAGGGCAGCCATTCTTCCTTGACACCATGAAGGGGGTACTTCAAAGAGCTGGGGACCCGGACTGGGAGTTCCTAGAGCAGGCGAAGACAGGCCTGCCCCTTGGTATACTCCATGAGATGCCAAGGACTCCTGCAGTCTTTGAAGAGCAGGTGAAGTGGAGCCTGGAGGGTGATGGCTGGGGCAGTGCAGTATGGCAGAAGGACAACTATGCTTCGGCTGCCGAGCACGAAAAGTACTTGGTTGAGCATCTGGAGCAAGAGGTGGCTGAGGGGCTCATGGTGAAGATGAGCGAGGAGGACTTTGTCCGTACTTATGGCAAGAATCGTGCTGTTGCAGCGTTGGCAGTTTTGGTGGAGGACGAACTGACAGGCAAGAAGCGTGTTATTCATGATGGCACGCATGGTGTCATGGTGAATCACCGAATCAAGTGCAGAGACAAGGTTCGGATGCCAGGACCCCGAGAGAAGCGCACCTTGCTGGAGGAGTATGGGGCTGACCGTGCGGCGGTCTTGTCACTGGTTGGCGATTTTGCAAAAGCACATCGGCGTTTCAAGTACCTGAAGGAGGAGCATGGGTTTTTAGCATGCAAGGCAGCCACCCGGTCGAGCACTGTCTATGTCAACCAGGTGGGCACCTTCGGTATCGCCTCAACACCGTACTGGTGGGCGAGATTGAGTGCAGCCCTGATGAGGCTAGTGTACTGAGTTTTGGGAGGTGATTTTCCCAATGACATGTTGCTGTACGCTGATGACCTGGAGGTGCTTGCTATAGGTCGTCAAGGGAGGATTGGTGGAGTGTTGGCCTATGCAGTTATGGCCGCTCTTGGTGCACCCTTCAAGTGGGCCAAACAACGAGGTGGCCTGGTGACAGAGTGGATCGGCTTGACCACGGACTACCAGTCCTTCTCCATGGGCCTCTCGGTGAAGAGGACGGGCTGGGTCCTTGAGTGGATAGCTTCTTTGAGGAGGAGGAAAGAGGTCACTTATCGCGAGTTTGCTGCAGGTCTTGGAAGGCTGGGCTTCTCTGCACTGGCCCTCCCCTGGGAGAGGCCTCTACTGGGTCCTTTGTATGCGTGGGCCTCGGCAATTCAAATGAATCGGGGTGCGATGACCATTCCTTGGGCTATCCAATTCATCTTGGACTGGATTGCCAAGAGGCTCAGGGCCGGAGGCCACATGGAGATTGTCAAGCAGCCTTCAAGACAAGGGGGGAGGTCCCTGAAGATTTGGACAGACGCCAAGGCGACAGAACAGGCGGCTTGGATAGGGGGATGGCTTGAAGAGTGTGAGGACAGCAAGCGATGTCGCTGGTTTTCACTGCAGGTCACAGAGGTTAGCGCCCCCTGGCTTTACTATCGGGGAAAGAACCCGAAGCGAGTTATTGCTGCACTGGAATTGCTGGCGACTCTGGTCGCTTTGAAACTATGGCTGAAGAGTGCAGGAGATTCAGCTGAGGTGTGTGCAGAGGCCTTCACGGATAACCGGGGCAACGCCTTCATCCTGAAGAAAGGGCTCTCCACAAAATACCCTGTCACATTGCTTGTGATTGAGGTGGCGGAGACACTTCGAAGATGTGATGCCTTCGCAACACTCACTTGGGTCAGGAGAGACGGGAACGAGCTGGCTGACGCTCTGACCAATGAGGACTTCAGCGCCTTTGATCACCAGAGGAGAGAGGCAGTTGAAGAAGGAGGACTCCAATGGCACGTGATGGACGAGCTATTGAGGGGCAGTGAGGTGCTTTTCAATGAGATCAAGGAGCACAAAAAGAAGAAACAGGATGACGGGCCAAAGATGAGCCTAGCAAGGAAGAAACCGAAGAAATACTTCAGTCGTTGGAAATCCTGACTGAATGTGGGAGGGTCTGCCCTAAGACGCTCTTAGGGCAGCCGGCAGGAGACAT